GAACCATGTTAGATGGCTAGGCGAAATTTCAAAAATTTCTTTTACCCTTCTAGAAATCGTATTCTCAGTTTTAGAAGAATTACATTTTTCAAAGATCGTTCTTGCACTGAATCGGACCAGATTTGAAACCAAAAGAAAGGGAGAAGAATACCTGATACGGATTCCACACATGTAGTTCCCAAAGTGGGTGTTGACGCCCAAAGAGGGTACCAAAACCAACTTCCACTGAAGATGGTGCAGCTTAGGATGAAGCTGGTTCAACAACGCAGTCCTTCAACAAGAACTGCAATCCAACAGCTTCGATCAAGCAAGGGGGATGAGCATGAAATAAATCTGATGTTTTCTTGCAAAATCAGATATCATAACTGATATCTATCAGTTCAAGAATGGATGTCGAATTAGGGTTAGGGCAGCAAGAGGAAAAGGATAGAGAGAAAACTGAGAGCAGTGTGTAAACCTGGAGCAGTTCACCCTCCTCTATTTATATACCTTAAAGGGCAGCTTTCCTAATCCAATTAGGAGCTTCCTAATCCAAATCTTTATTTGGATCTGGACTCTTTAAGTGGATAAGACTTATCCTCTTACCCTATCTACTAATCCAAGCCCATATCCATACCCAAATTCGCCCATGTCACATGACTGCTTTAAGTTGTCACGTGACATCCTGATTAATCCAATTAATCATGGGCCCTAGGCCCATTAAGTAAGTGGCTCACGTCCCCTTTTAGTTGCTGACTAACTTGGCTCTCGTTGTATGGCGTGGGACCCCAACATTGACCTCACAAAAGCCCATTTGGGTTCAACCTAACTTTTGTGACAAAGCCTAGCCGGATTCACCGCTAAGCACAGTGAACCCCTGAGTCCATCATTATGGGCTCTTAATGGGCCCAACATTTACACTAAATGGTCTTTAAGTCCAGTTATCTTATGAAGGCCCAAGGACAATGGTTTTTAAGTGAGATTAGCCTATCAGGTATAATAACCCTAAATGGTCTTACACTTGACCTCTCAACCCTTAATGATCAAACATTGCCCGACAAGAGAGGACCTCTCCCTCAGTTGCAAAGTACAATGTTGCACTCTTTGCTCGGATGAATCCCGGGAATTAAAACCTTTTGCAAACATTTTTCATAAAACATAATATATACATATATATTCATATAAATATATTTTGCAATACAAATCTCAACACAGTTGAAATTGATTGTCAGTAGTTTTGGTTTCCGTCAAAGAGAGTGCAGTCCCGATCATTCACTTTATCTGACAAAGGGGCTGACATTGTCGCTTTGATCACCCACTCGAGTGAATTCTTAGAATGCCCCAACATACCCAGGTTTTGACCCCCTCTAAGAATCTCACTGATTGGCATATCAAAGATAGCCCAATCCGACACATAGTGCAGTACCATAATCAAGTCTAGGGGTTAGGTGTAACTTTCCAATTTTGCCCACCAGTCTCCAAGGTCCAGGGCATAATTGGAAAATGATATGGATTCAGTGTTTCAAACAAACACACACTACATGTGCTTCGGGTCTCACCCCGACAGTTGAGACAAGCCACCCCAACCAACTTGGCAGCACATTAGTATCAGCATTGGCAGGATAAACTTCCCCAAGTCTATCCAGTGGCTAAGAACATTCTAAACTAACACGAGTCTCATAAGTGTCTAGTTTAAGGGTAATTACACTAAATGGATATATACATCAATTTGATTGGAGCTAAGGGCATACGCTGTCTAACAGTTATTTATCAAAATTCATGGGTGAGTTTTGATTGATCAAAACTTTCTATACCATATCTTTCCCATATAATAGGTTTTCCCAATAAAAAGATTGGGAAAAATTTTGGCACATATATAATGTTATATATTTATAAAAAAATAAATTATTGGGTACATCTCTAATATTATGCATTCATTATTATACATATAATTCTATCGATGATGAAAATGTAATATAAAATTTAATGTCAACCTAGAAATCAATCTTTTTGGGTGGTGGGTTAATGGTTTGGGTCAAATGATATCATAGACAGACAAAAATTAAGTGTGATGAGTAAACAATATTTTATATAATGTAAATGAAATATATAGTTTAAAGGGAAAATTATAGTCAAAGCCAGTTAGTTGTACATTTAAAATTAGGTTGCAGGTTGGCCCAAAAACCAACAAAACTCTAACAATCGACTTTATATTTCATATTATAAAAACCTCAACCATGTCATTAGAGGCTTATGTGGCTATTACCAACATGGGACTCTTAATCTATGTTGGACACAACAAAAAGCCTATACTAAAAATAGGTTTTCAGTTTCTTTCCCACTCCCTCTAAGCCAGTTAGTTGTACATTTAAAATTAGGTTGCAAGTTGGTCCAAAAACCAACAAAACTCTAACAATCAACTTTACATTTCATATTATAAAAACCCTAACCATGTCATTGGAGGCTTATGTGGCTATTACCAACATGGGACTCTTAATCCATGTTGGACACAACAAAAAGCCTATACTGAAAATAGGTTTTCAGTTTCTCTCCCACTCCCTCTATCTCTTGATCTCCCTCCCTTCTCTCTCACTCTCATAGTCATCTCTTGATTTCCACTCCCATTATCTCTCATACTCTCTCACCTTCAGTTTGTAGCCAAATCTAAACCTCTCTCTCTCTCTCTCTCTGTCTCTTGTTCTCCTTTAGTCTTTCTCCCGCTCATTCTCTCATTATTTTTTTTTTTATTTTTCTTACAAACTTATACAATATTAATCATGCTGTATAAAAGAACTAAAGGAACCATCCACTTGTACAATCAAATTATAAATTTCTATCAAGTTGGTCTCATGTCATTTTATGCGATCTGATTAATACTATATAAGTGTGTAAGAAAAAAATAATAATAATGAGAGAGGGAGTGAGAAAAAAACTAAAGGGGAACCGTAGAAATTAAGGGAGAATGAGAGATCTATCGAGAAAGAGAACAAGAGAGATATAGGGAGAATGATAGGTAGAGAGAGAGAGATCAATCTCCCAACATTAAAGGGTAATTTCGGTATAAGCTTTTTGTTGTGTCCAATACGGATTAAGAGTCCCATGTTGGCAACAATCACATAAGCCTCCAATGACATGGCGGGGGTTTTTATAATTTGAAATGGGGGCCAATTATTAGATTTATGTTGGTTTTTAATTTGTAGCAACCTGCATCCTAATTTTAAATGCACAATCGACTTTGGCTATAATTTTTTCTAATTTAAAACTAATCTAAAAGCAAAATTATTTTCTTATCTAGATGGTGGGTCAATGAACCAACTTTTCAAAGAAACCCATGATGTCATAATTAAATATTAAATATTTAAAAAAAGATAGAAAAAATGAAAATATACAGAATATTGTCAAAAATATTTGAGAATATTTCAATTCTAATGTTATATATTCATCATATTAAATAAAAATAATTGTTAAAATAAAAGTTATTTTTGTTTATGATAGAAATGAAATAAAAAATTTAATAATAATAATAATAATAATAATAATTGTTATTTGCTACAAGCATTTAAGTTTATTTTTAATCATATTGTTACTTTTGTTAATTTTCAATTTCTATCTTAACTATGATATATCTAAAATTCAAGTAATTAATATGAAGAAAAATTTATCACATGCAACACATATGTTTAATTATTAGTATAAAGAAAAATGCAGAACAAAACACACAAAACAAACGCAAAAATTTACCATCATGCAATGGAGGTTCATAGCCAACATCCTTTGTTTTTACAAATTCTTGCTCTATTTCTTGGCCTTAAAGATACAAAATAACTTTCTGTGCAAGATATAAGACTATTTATATGAGAAAACCCCTAAACCATATTGACCCCACAAAATTGTTAAGAAATCGATATTGATAGGATATATCCTATATTGAAATCCGGTCAAATATGTAATACAATTATTCGAATTTGATTTTAGAAATTATCAGATATCCAAAGACAAATCCAATTCAGTTTGTTTAATTTGATTGAAATTGAAATAAAAGAGAATCAAAGAAAAAAAAATAGAAAAGGTTTAGGTTAGGGTTTGGTGCATACTTTGCTCGTATAATATTTGGCTCCATGTGACTGTTGACCTGTTGTCGTTCGCGTTTTGCAACCAACATCTGTCATTGTTCAATGAACTTTTGCAATGGTTGAGGTATGGACTATGAGAAATTTAAGTGAAAGTCAGAATGATCCATTTAATGTTGGATGGAGTCGGTTGGAGACAAAGTAGAGAGCCAAAACATCCATATTTTCTAAGCTCTTTGTCATGGATAAGGGGCGAGAGAATATTTTGGCAAAACTTATCAAATACAAGGTAGGGGTGGGCCAAAACTGAATTCAAATTAATTCAGCCTAAAATTTTATATGGATTGAACTTGGATTTTCGATTCTTGAATCTAAGAATTTTGGTTTTTAATTTTTCAAATTGGGCTTGGACATAACATTTAAGTAGCCTAAATCCGACCCGATATTGTCCCTATCTGACTTAATGAGCGAGAATGACAGAATGTGAGACAATGTCTTGAACGTGGGAGTTAATGAAAGGAAATTGAATAAACTTAAATTATAATAGTGTTTAAATTACATTTTCTGTATTTTAGTCAAGAAAATTAAAAATTTAAAGATGCTATTTATATTTTTTATAGTAATATAAATTTGTATTCCCTTCCAAATTAAGCCTACGGGACATTATAGATTTTTTTCCATTTCAATTTCACTTAACGCCAAAAAATGTTTTTACTGAACAAAACCCTGCACGACTGATATGTAAATATAAATTAAAAAAAAAAACAAATTGTATTATAGAATACAAGCATTTCATACGAAAACAAAAGGAACAAAAGGACATGACTCAAAAAAAAAAAAAAAACTATTTGTGTTTGATACTGAAAACTGATTCTATTACATACAACTCCAGAGGGAAATTCCCAGAACAAAGAATCAATGCAATCTAGCAATGTAGGCCATTCTGACTTAGTTCTCTGCACTAATTTACAACTCACGAGTCACAAAATCTAATTGGTGGTGGTGGACCATGAACAAAGCATCTCTTTGTAAATTGTGACTGTGAATCCAGTCTCTCTCTTTTACGAGTCTACATGGCCAGAACCCAGAAGCTCCCTCTCTGGCCGTTGCTGGATACGCGTCTTCGCTTTAATTCTCACGCAGCGAATCTAACTCCAGCGATTTTGACGCCCCAAAAAGGATTTCGTCTTGAAACACTTCCAGGAAACATCCCCAAATTAAAATAATTGAGGAATATTAATTTGCTCAGTTGATTCCTGAAACGTTCCCTGTTTCCATTATTTTCCTTGTCTCCCTCTCCCATACTATTATATAAATATCGCCTCAGCGCGCTTCTTACTAATTTTTTCCTTTCTCTAGTCTCAGTTCAGAAGCTTCTCTTCCCATCTCACTCTCTCGGATCTCCCTCCGTGTAACTTATTCTTCTGCTTGTAAGAGCTGTCGAACGGCATTCTCGTTCTGTCATTCTTTTTGCTGTAAAATCTTGTTAATTTTGTATTTTTTTTTTTTTTTTGAATATAGAGATCATGGATTTTTAGGGGTTCAACACCTTTGAATGCTTCGTTGCTTTTTTTGATAATATTGTAGGAGTTTTTTTGTAGAGAATTTGGAACTGTTATTGATTGATTTGTTTTTTCGAAGTGGCAGTCTTTTGGACTGTGGGGGAAGCTCAGATCTTCGGTTTCTAGGGTTTCTGCATTTGCTTCCTGTATTGGGTTCTGATTGGAAGAGGAACAGTAGTTTTGCGAGACTATCTCACTTTCAATCTGGTCTTTTGTCTGAAACCGGAATTTTCATGCAAGTTGTAGATCTCCAGTATATAGGGTTTGGGGAATACTGGGCTCGCTCGGATTGTGCTGGTTATATAAGGAGAAAAACCTGGATTCCCAATTTCTAGGGTTTAGGTTATTGTGGAAGAAGTGGCATTCATTTTCTGGGGCTTATCATCTCTTGTTCCGTTCGGTTATCAACTGGTCTTGTGGGAGAATCCTATACTTTGAGGGATTTTGATCATGGAGAAGGATAAATCCCCGTGCCATGGAGGAGGTTTACCACCTCCTTCATCCCGCTATTCTGGTTTTCCTTCGGCTGGGAATAGTTTCAATGTGAAGTCTGAGCCCTCCGCATCTACATTGCCACCGCCATCCCCAGCGTCTACTTCAGAAGCAAGTCATTTTGGTCATGCAATGTCCTCTGATTCCAGCCGTTTTAGCCATGACATCAGCCGGATGCCAGATTTTCCCCCTAAAAATATTGGTCATCGGCGGGCTCAGTCTGAGATCCTCAGTCTCCCCGACGACATCAGCTTTGACAATGAGCTTGGTGTCGTGGGTCCTGGAGACGTTCCTTCGCTGTCGGACGAAACCGAGGAAGACCTCTTTTCCATGTATATTGATATGGAGAAATTTAGTGCATCTTCTGCCACATCTGGATTTCAAGCAGGTGAGACGTCTACAGCTGCGGCACCGCCACCAGCACCAGCACCAGCACCAACAACTGCAGCTCCTTCTGCCCAGAATTTATCTGTTGGGTCTGATGAGAAGCGAAGGGTTAGGCACCAGCATAGTCAGTCCATGGATGGGTCAACGTCGATCAAAACGGAGTTCCTTGTTTCGGGTACAGAAGGTCCTTCTGCGGCAGAAACCAAGAAAGCCATGTCAGCGGCTAAGCTTGCTGATCTTGCTCTCATTGATCCAAAGCGTGCAAAGAGGTGGGCTTCTCATGCATTCTGATAAGTAGTGTTTATCGAAAATTTCTGTATTACATAGTCTTTCTTGTTGCTTAATTGGGCTTTACACATTTTTCTTCTGAAGTATCTGCAAAAGTGTCGAGATTTGTATATTTATACGCACACACACGCAAGGATGCCGGTATCTGATGCATTATGTTCATTGTTAAGCATTTTTATTATTGTTTTCTCTGTTGTCAGTTTTCTGCTTTTGGAAAATATTATGGTAGATATTTTCTTGATGATTGGATTTTGTCCTATACATTTATTTAAGGCATGCGTAGAGCCTGGGATGTAGTTGGGGAAGCAGAGTCCTTTGAGTTAAGGACCATATGTGCCTAGCCTTCCTTTGCAAGGGTGCTTATCATTGTTCACTTGAACCATGGAGGCAAGCAGATTTAGAATTTGTCCTATATCTACGTGGCAAAATAATCAGTGGATCATATCATATTTTCTTGATCTTCCCAGCTACCTTTTAATTTTGGGAGTTATTTTCCTCGTTCATTGGGATATCTTGGGCTTGTCCTAGCCTTCGGTGAATGTGAATCTTGGGGGGGAGGGGCATTATTTGGTCATTTGTGCGAATGGCCATTTGTTGGGTTAAGAAAGAAAAAAATAGAAGAGTTTCTAAGGATTCTCATAGACCATCGGTGCACCTTTGTGCTGGTATGTGTTGGTTTTAAATGGATTGGTTTCTTCTCCTTAGTGAGTTTGATGGTCCAAAATGAAGAGGTCTTGTTCATGGATGGTTTCTCATTTTGGCAACAGGCCTTTTCATACATCTCTTATACACTTTTAATTACTAGTAAGTTAGCATGTGCTTTGCATGTGGCAATTTTTGACGATGATGATGACAGTAAATAATACGTTTCTAAAATTTTCTACAATTATTTGTTATATTTCTATTGCTATAAAATTATTTTTGTTTGGTATACTTATTTTTGTTTAATATGACAAACATAATATTATAGATGTGCCCAAATGTTTACAATTTTTTGTTGTATTTTTTATACTTGTGTGCATTTTAATCTTTTTTTTATTTTTATTATTATTTAATTATGACAACAAAGGTTGCACAAAAGACCCAAAAGATTGAATTCTTGACTTGCCACCAATCAAGAAAACAACTCCATTTTGGGTTGGTTTTTAGTTTGTATTTTATTTCTATCATCAATAAGAACGATTATTCTTTGTCACACTTATTTTTCTTAATATGATTAATTAATATATGATTCAATGAAAAAATGGGAGTTAATACCCTGAATATAAGACTTAACGAGGGGGAATTGAATAAGGAGAAATATAGTAGTTAAAATTATATTTTAGTCAAGACTCAAAAATAGGATTCAATAAATGTTAATGGTAGTTAATATCTTAAATATAAGACTTAATGAAAGAGATTTGAATGGGGAGAAAGGTGGTTGTTCAAATTACTTTCTATCCTTATGATTAAGGAGGAACTAATTAAAAAATTGGGGTATTTTAGTCAAACAAAAGTTTCCACACTTTCATTCACACTTTTAATAATAGTATAGATTACTAAAAATGTAGTGATGGCCTTATAAAATTTTAATTTTAGTTTTGATATTATGAGGGATTGAGGGTGGGACTTGGTGCAATGGTTAGGTTGCTCCATTCTGGGTGACCAGGGTTCAAATCTTGGAAATAGCTTCTTTGTGTATCTGCAGGGGTAAGGCTGTGTACATCTGTCCCTCCCCAGATCCTGCATTGGCAGGAGACTCATGCACTGGGCTGCTCTTTATTAGCCCCTGTTTGGGAGTGTTTATTCTAATAAGCACTCATAAGTGCTTATCCTAGTAAAGTGCTCACGAGTGGTTGGTGGAAAAACACTTATTTCAAAAAGGGATAGTATAGGTATTTTAAAATGATCTGGCGGGCCAAGATGGGCCAGAAAGGAAATAAATAGGTGCTTAAAAATAAGCTCCAAATTTGGGCCTCTTGAGTAAGTGCTTATTTTCAGGAATTAGCACTTATTCAGGCTTATTTCCCAAATGCAAATAAGTGCTTGTTGGTGTGGTCCCGGCCCAAACTAAGCATTCCCAGACATGGGCTAAATAGTTTTGATATTAATTATGATCACATGATTGTTTTCCAACTTTACCCTATTTTGTATAAGATGTGCTATGATCATTTGAAGAAGAGGCATTTTCCACATTAAATTTTCATAAACCCCTTGCTTGCTGATTCACTTGGTGTCTCATACATATATTATATGATGCTCTAATATTTCCTCATTGAAGATACCAAAACGGGCACTGGCAACAGGCAGTTACACAACGCTTGGCTTTTGCCAAACTCAATATAACTTTTGATCATTGGTGGAGGGGGCAACCCCCTGCCAAATAATTTTATTTGCCAGTTATATTCTTAGATTTCCATATATAATGGCCCCATATTTGTAGGAATTATAACAAAGCTGCTCCCAAACTTAACCTTTCCAACTTCCCATATTGACACAGTCCCATAAGTATTGCTTTTTTGTATCATGAAAATGGCATTATAAAAGTTTAGAGAGAGTACAGAGTCTTGACTATTGAGCCTCTAATTTCTCTTATATTAAAGGGATAATTTTATATTGTTCCTCCCCTTGTTGAAATTTTTTTTTTTTTTGAATGGATAAAAGAAGAAATGCATTGCCCTTTTGTGTTCTACATGATGCAGCTAAATAAGTTGGCCCTATAAAGAATATTTTATTTTGTTTTAGTGCTCTTTATTCTTGAGCCACATCACCATATTATACTTTATTCTCCATTTATACTTTACTGTTGGTGTTTTTTCTCATATTTGTCTCTCCTATTTCATTTTACAGGATCTGGGCAAATAGGCAGTCAGCTGCAAGGTCGAAAGAGAGGAAAATGCGCTACATATCTGAACTGGAACGGAAAGTGCAGACCCTGCAAACAGAGGCAACTACACTTTCTGCTCAGTTGACCTTGTTGCAGGTATTGTTTTTCCTCTGAAAAGTCTCTTGCTTTCCAAGTGAATCTTAGGATGGAAGTTAAGACAAGTAACCAGTTACTACTGCTTAAACTCTGGTTTCATTCCAATTATCTCCATATTCTTTGGGCTTGTATTTCTTGCTTGTTTGGACTTTGATTACCCATGCTCAATAAAATAGCTCATCTGGCTAGATGAAGCATGTTTCTGACTACCCTTTTTGGATCAGTTGTTTCTGACTGTACTTTTTTATGGGCTTCTCATGGATAGAGAGATACAAATGGACTGACTGCTGAAAACAATGAGCTGAAACTCCGTTTGCAAACCATGGAACAACAGGTTCACCTGCAAGATGGTAAGGGTTCAATTTGACTTTTGGTTTATGGCATAACTTTTCTGCTTTTGGATATGTTTCACTAATCACTAATTCTTTTACATTTTTAATTCATAAATCATTGGTTCATACTTCATAGTATAATCTCATAGCTAAACCAGGTTGCTGACTATGCGTGTGGTTTTCAAACTCAATTGTCTTAGGGCATAAAACTAGTTTCATGCTTTTTATAGCAACTGATGTCTAAAACACACTAATTATTAATTAGATGATCCAAATGTCTGATAATCAGATCTATTGCTTAAGTTTATATGACAAGGACAGTATGATCCACTTTGAATGGTTTTAGACATTTTTCTACTGCGGCTCATATGCCTGTTTTATTATTTCCTCATACTGACCAGTGAGATGCTATGTTACCCAGATTCAATGACATGATTGGATATGGTGTCAGATATGAAATTTATTGAAGTATCTGACATGATATGACACCACTGTGAATGTATCTCGGTATCACAGATGAGATGATCCCACATCAAAGGATGATCCATATCAGATTAAGAAGAAAAAATAATCTTGAACAACAATTAAAGTCCCATCAAAGTTGGAGCCTAATCTAATAGGGGCGCAAGTTGGGTATATTTGAAGAATAAACACAGCATTTGGCCCCATATAGTAGGGATAAGGCTTAGATGATGTTGATGAAGCATTAGGCCCAACCTCATTCAATTTTTAGCAAATTAAAAATGCTCAACCCGGGCCCACCCAAGTTGCACTATGACAATGTAATCAATCTTGATGTATGCTGGAAGTTGTAATTTTTAACAAATAACGAGCATGAGGCAAAAGTGAAATCAATTTCACAGCCAAAAGGAATGTTCTCAAGGGCAGACAGATCTTGCATGAAATTCTGATTTGTTTGTTTACGGAGCAACCATGAGAGTGTGATATAGCACAGGAGAAAAGGATTAATTGTAAGATTTGGAGAAAGCTTATAATAATGCTCATTATGGATCATTGTGTTATGGAAAAGCAATTTGGTCAAAAATGGGAAATTATTATGTAGTCAGGGTAGGTTATGAGTTGGGGAATGGCATTATACTTATCTTGCTCTCCCTCAGTCCCTCTTGGAACCAACGCTAGGAATGGGCCTCTTGAGGTGTGGGCCCTTGTCAGGTGAGACATATATGCCATGCCTCAAGGCATGAAACTATGAAGTGGTAAGCATCAAAAGCAATGAGTTGAGATTTTCTTTTAACATAAGATTCTTATTTTTAATTTTTTGTATGAACATTTTTAGTGAGAAGTACTGATACATATTTTTGAAGATTGAAAACTTAGATCTGCTCAGGAAGAATTTGAAAGCCTGCTGAACTCTAGGTCTTTATGATTCAAGTTTAAGTACCCGTCCTCTCAAATAATGATGATATTGGCAATCCATTTATGATTTAAATCCAAATGCCCTTAACCTTGCAACTCAAAGACAACTCTTGCCAGTCCATCTTGCCTTCATGACTCTCTATCCCACTTCCCTTTTTCTCTCTCTCCCAATATAAAAATGCCCTCTTCACATATAAGCAACATTTAGCTACACAAGTCATTCTTTGAGCCTTCTTACAATTATAGTATGGGTGCTAGTGATTGTACGAGGATTTCAGTGAAGATAAACACAAGCATGTGGTTGTTGACCCTTTTATCTAATTCCAGAATTTTCTATTTCTCCATTTGTAAGCGTTGTAGATGTCAACAACACAACCATGTGAAGAATGACAGCCAAGATAGATTGACTGGCCTCAAGGAACAATAAGAACCAAGATCCATCTCTAGAATTTTCAGCACGAGTAGCATGAGGACTCTTTGCTTTTGTCCTTTTTCTGAATCCATTGGCTCTATACGATGACATTAAAATGCTCAGTTTCTACTTCTATGGTATTGCTTTACTTTCAGTCCTAGCATATATCTTCAGTCTCCACAGCCATTTCCCTAATAGTGCCATATTCCTCTTCTAAATGTTCCCAATTCCTAAGCCAACAAAATTTCTTCTCTCCTCCCTTGATTCCCACAAAAAAAAATTTGTCATTAGTTTCTTTCAGAATTTTACAAACCCTTTTTGGAATTTTGAACACTGAGAGGAAGTAGACAAGCAAGTTGGCCAAAGTTGATTTGATTAAGGTAATTCTGCCACCCAAGGACAAATAATTCCTCTTCAATTATCAAAAATAAATAAATAAATAAATAAATAATTTTCTCTTCCAAGAGGCTAGTCTCTTTGTAAATCTATCCACCATAGGGTTCCAGAAACTTGTATTTCTCGGGTTATCACCCAAGGGTAATCCCAAGTAATTCATTGGCCACTGGGAAATTTCACAACCCAAAACTATTGTACAATTGAACACCTCCCTTTCATCCATATTGATCCCCAATACACAACTCTTATTAAAATTGATTTTTAGATTGACATATGCTCAAACAATTGTACCACTCTCACCAGCTGTGAGGTCATCACCTTCACAGAATAAAATGTATCATCAACAAATTGAAGATGGGTAAGAGGCACTCTATCTCTTCCCACTCTCCACCCTCTCACCAGCTGTCTTGAATATGCTCTCTGGATTAGCTTCCCTATGATATCAGCCAATAAAGTAAATAAAAAAGGGGAGAGAGGATCTCCCTGTCTAATTCCTCTGATAGCTGGAAAGTGATCCAGTACAGTTCCATTTATCGAGATAGAATAGTGGCAAGTTCTAATACATCCTTGAATCCACTTACACCACTTATCTCTGAACTCATAATTTCTCATCATCCCCCACAAAAAGTCCCAGTCCACTGGGTCATAGGCCTTCTTTAGACCAAACTTACAAACTAAACCCTTTCTTCCAGTTCTTTTCAACTCCACACCCTCATTAGTAATTAAGCTTTGATCAATGATCTGCCTATTCTTTAAACACTCTTGATTTGGGGAGATTATAGAGGGAAGCGCAGAGGTGTGTTATTTGGTCATTATAGGCCAAATAACACCAATTGTCAACATAAAAAAAAGTCTAGCGTTTAAATGTTTGTTTAATGTAAATAAAATATTCTACCAAATAGGAGAATTAGCAAGGTATGTCTTGATTTGCCTTTACAAATAGGGCGCTTGCTGACCCATTCAATGGCCATTGTCCCGTGGAGTTCTTTCTCAGCAATTTCCCAATCAGCTCACAAATTGGTGTTAACTGTGCGATAAATCTGTGATCATACTGTACATGTTCAAACCCTAATTTCCTTATCAGTTCTCGGTGGTGGCATATCTATAATCGCCTTCGTCAACCTCGGATCGAGATCTAAACTATACATGTTTAGTTGTCTGTTCAATTTGTATCGTATTTATTTTGTTGGTTATCAATTATTTCTTTATTAATTTCTGATTTTTCTTTATAAACTAGCACACAATTTGTGTCATGTGTATATGTTTGTTTTGGATGGATGCCATGTGTATATGTTTGTTGAAAGTATCTTTATGTTCTAATGCATATTGCTGTTCTTAGGAGTTCAGAGGCATAATGTATTTCATCATCAGGATGGGTCTTCTTTTTTTTTTTGGGTCATATCATCAGGTGGAGATGCACCAGCACACATGGATTTTCAATCAGTAAGGGCCATTTCATAACAGCTGAACTGGACTGAATGACTTATTGCTTGTCTTTTAGTGAATTAGTTATTCTGGAGGTTGCGAGCACCTTGATAGCTGAAGCTGATTATTATATGCTCAATATTTTACTAAATTATTTTATCCACTCTAGGACAAAGTAATAAGTCATTCAGTTCAGTCATTTCAGTCATTATCAAATGGTCCATAAATTCCATACATTTGAACTTGATGGTTGTTCCCAAGATTGAATTGAATTTTCATCAGCCTGTTTACTTGTCTGGGCTTTTAGGTTTGGATAAAATTACTAAAGCTGACTGTTGGTCCTTATGGTAATCTGGTGGTAGGGGTTAGTGATTGGCTGGGTATTGGTTATCTTACGCTCTTTCATCTTGTTAGTTTAGGAGGCTTTTTCTTTTTCTTTGTTTTTGGCCAATCTGACGATTTCATTCAAGTGGATGCTTTTGTTGGCCAATTTTATGCTGGATTCTCTTGCCTGGATCTCTGCTATAGTGGAGTTATATATGTGAACCCATTTCTCTCCTTTATTTTTGGGTCTGAAGCCTTGCTCTTTATATTCTTTTGCATTCTTTATTTTACTCCTCTTGGCGTTTATGATCCTATTTTTGTATGAAAACATATTGTTAGTGTTATAGATGAAATTAGAAAAAAAATTCAGACTTTGGTCGTTTGTAAGACGGTAGAAACTCTGTTCCATGATTCTACATGGTACTCCTATTTGTTGTGGTTTCTTAAGGTCAGAGAAAAGTTAACAAGTCAGATGCTAAAGATTGCCTCCATCTGGCAGGCTTTCCAAATGTATAGTACAGTGCAGCTTGGTCGCCTCTCTCTGGATTCATAAAACTGAATTTTGATGGTAGTAGCTTAAGAAATCCAGGGCCTTCTGGGATTGGGGGAGTGTTCAGGAATGAGGATGGGATTATTACTGCCATGTTCTCAGGCCCAATTGGAAAGGGTGACTTTCTTAGGGCTAAGATTCTTGCAGTTCTGGAAGGAATCCAAAGAGCAAGAGAATTGAACATTAGATGCTTGGTCCTTGAAGGGGACTCGGAGGTGGTGATTAGGTGGCTGAAGGGAGACAACAGTGGTTTGTGGAGTTACAGCAATGAAAAGAAAAAAATTTAAATGGCTGAGTAGGGATATTGAAGTGAAGAGAAGTGCTAAATCAATTGCTGATGGGTTAGCCAAGCAAGGGGCGTTTAGGGAATATCTGTTTTGGGCTAATTTTCAGCTTCTTTCTTTGTTTTTTGTTGTTGGAGAGTTAAGATAGTTTACCACCCCCTTTGTAATTAAAGTTTCACAAAACTTATTCATTAATAAAGCTTATTGTTATTGATAAAAAAAAAAAAAAGATGTGGGTCAACTTGATTAGGGGTTTTACAACTTCATCTGATTTGATGGAAAATTTTCATAAAATTATTAGAGCTTCTGGTTGCTTTGGGCGAGTGTAGAACTATTCTTACCTATCATGTATAAGTATATAAATTTCCACTGGTTTCCCTGGTGGAAACCCTCAAAATGTGGGTTCCATCATATATATGAGTGGCATGGAAAGCATGGAACCAATGTTTCCCCTTCACTTGCCCCGTTGATATCAATTCAAGTGTCTGTTTGTCTCGTCTTTCATAAATCATAATTATCTTACTCTTTCTGTTTGTGCTTTCCTGATGATAGCCTTAAATGAAGCGCTGAGGGATGAGGTCCAGCGTCTAAAGCTGATGACAGGACAAGCCATTTCTAATGGTGGGACCATGATGAACTACGGCTCTGCATTTGGTGCCAATCAGCAATTCTACCCTAACAATAATGCGATGCACACTCTCCTAGCTGCACATCAGTTTCAGCAGCTCCAGATTCATTCTCAACCACCGCCGCAGCAACTCCCGCAGCAGCAGCAGCAGCAGCAACAACTTCAACAACAGCAGCTCCAACAGCACCGGCAACAGCAACTCCAGCAGCAACAAACTGGGGACTTGAGAATCAAAGCTCCCTTGACTTCACACCAGAGGGAGAATACATCAGAGGTCAATTCTGCATCCAAGGACTGAGGTGAAATGGGTCAGATGCTGAGGGTCTGGTTATCGAAGGGGGCGCCAACTGTTCAAAGTCTCTAGGTCTAAGTTAATCGGTTATAGTTTTACTTAGGTTCCATGTTTTTTCGACTTTTTAAGGTAGGACTTAGGAGGGGCAGACAGATTTGCTTTCATAAAAACTAGTGTAGTCTTAGCTGTACTTAAGCAGGTTGCATAGCTTGGTCAGTTACATCTATGCAGACGTGATATTCTTTTTAGCAGTATTCTATTTAATTCAATTTTTTAATGGGATTCCTTGTATTATTTCACCCTGCATGAAGGATAACTTCTGGTTTTAGCACTTATGTGAAGGTGCAGGGGATGGAATCTTTTTTTTTTTTTGTGCTTTTTTTGGCCAAGTTAATTGTTTCCAATCCTATCATCCTATGTTCACATGATGGCCACCTGATTTGGTTCGGGTGTATCCTATACTTTTAGACCTTATTACCAATGCTAGCGTCCGAACCACATCTTTGACATTGTTATTTAAACATATCCACTGCTATGGATTTCGTGGAGAGTTCAAAACATATTGTTTTAGGAATTAGGATTCAAATAAATGTTAAAATTATAATAATAACATTAAGGTTGCGTTTGAGGTGTAAATGTAAATTGACGTAAAACTCAATCGTTGTTGGTTTGCGTTAATACCCGTTTGTTTGTAGTGTAAAATTCTATATTCAGTTTTTTAGTTGACTTTTACATTGTTAATCAATGTCACTTTTTATAATCATTCTCACTTAAAAATTTTCAATAGTTCAGGCAGATTTAAATTGATGGACTTTTATACGATGGGATTTTTTATTAATTGATTTTTATTAAGGTTCAAAGTATTGATATGTATCGTTTTGGGTCCCCTCTGATTAGACCTGTTCATGGGTTGGGCCCGGCCCGACCATCAGACCTATAACTTGGGTCCGAGCCCGGCCCTCATAAAAAGCCTGAAGCTTGGGTCTGGGCCGGAGCCCGAAATTTAGCCCATATTATTAGCGGCTGAATAGAGAAAGAGAGAGAGAGAGAAAAGAATAAAAATGTATATATTAAATTATAAATATATTTTAATAAATATTATATTATTTATATATTTTATATAATATATAAAATACATTATATATCTTATAAAATATATAATGCTGAGCCGGGTCGGGTTTTTTTGTCAAATCCCGAGCCCGGCCCGAAACACAATCGGGCTTACTGTGTTAGGCCCGAGGTCAGGCCTGCAAGACTAATTACATGACCAAGCCCGACCGAGGTGCGGGCCGGGCCGGGTTGGGCCATCAGGCTACCCGGCCCATGAACAAGTCTACCTCTGATATGTCCCTATAGTGGATGTATTGGGGGTTTGACCGGTTCAGGGGGTGGAGCCTTAAACCGACCCCCCTGAACTGGTTTCAGAAAATAAAAAATAAAAAAAGTATAAAAAAAGAATATCCATTCGTCGGGTGTATCAATATTTTGAACCTTGATTTTTATATAGTGAATTTTTCCATTGCATTCAAACACAGTTTAAGCTTTTTTTCTATAGAAAATGAAACATAGAAGTTACAAGCCACATCAGGAAGCCCGATCCCATTAAAGCAAATATAAGCAAGAGAACTACAACTGAAATGATTTGGTTTGTATGGCCATGGTTGCCTAGCTAGTCTAGTGAGACATTAACTTCTCTAAGAGTATATGTATGTATGTAATCGTTAACTCTATCTGCTGCAATGTTGATACAGCATTCTTAGATGATAGGCTTAACATTTCAAGTGGAGGTTAAAACACCTTGAAGGCAATTGATAACTAGCTTAGAATCTCCTTTAGTGGTGGTCCTCCTTTTTGACTTGCTCTGCAACTGGGGGTTCTTTTAAGGTTACTTCTTGCAATAACTCCAATTGCAGATCTTCCTCCTTACCTAACTAAGGCATCAAAATTTATCTTGATGCCATCATCTTAGGGGGCTTCCAATTGATGAGTTGGGATTGTCTAAGTGTATTGGAGTAGCTTTATTTTTTATATTAGATTAAAAGAAATTCGTTACATAAACTTTTTGCTAACTCCTTGACTACCTAAGGGGAAATATCTATTTTTAGAAAATTCTATTATTTCTATTTTTCCATATATACCATAGCATTGTACTGATCATTCCATGATTTCCAGTTATGGTTATTTACATTTTTAATCCTTCTCCACCAATCCTCAATGTCTTCATTTTCCAGGGTTTTATTCTTCCAAACTCATTGTTGGTTTTGGTAGTGTAAGAAGATGTGCTTCACATTTTCCTCTTCATTACAGAAGGAACATCTTTTGAGTTTCTCTCTTGTTCTTAACTTTTTGTTTAGGAGGAGATACGTGAAGTAACAATTTCTTGGAGGGCATTTCAGCTCCTAGGCCTTCAAAATAATCTCATATTTGGATTCCTCGCTCTCAGCCTCCAGATTATATGCTGATTTAATAATGAAGTCTCCCTTTGTTTCAAGTTTCTATACCATTTTATCACAAGGTTCAAAGTATCAATACGTATTATTTCAGGAGCTCCCCGATATGTTGATGTGTATCGGGGTTTTAACCGATTCAGGAGGAGCCTTAAACCGACCTCCCTAAACCGGTTTTAAAAAAATTAAAAAAAAGTATTGATATAGTTCTATATGCCCCTACCGGCAAATCGATATTTTGAACCTTGTTTTATCATGCTCTGGATATGAAGGAACAGGGATAGTTTTTTTTTTTTTTTTCCATAGTTCAATCAGTAATTTTTCTAGAATTTTCTCCTGTTCCATTATTTGTTTTCAATAAATTTACTTAATCTGAGATCTTGGTCTTTGACATCTACCTCCCTGTTGTGTCTGAGTGGGTGGTTGCCAATCCATTTGCTAGTCCAAAACCTGATGGATTTACCATTACCTATTCTCCACCATATACCTTTCTTTAACAATTCCCTGTGTCTTTAGGTGGGGATGCAAATGGATTGGATCAGATTCGAATTAGGATATATCTGAATCTGATTCGATACTGTTAAGGGTAAGGGTGAGCATAATTAGGTTAAAACCGAAAAATCAAATCAAAATTTTGGTTTTGACTTAATTGATTCAGTTTTTAATCATTTTTCGGTTCGGCTTGGGTTGCCAAAATCGATTTTCCTATATTTCGGTTTCAGCTGTCATAGTTCACAAATTGGTTAACCGAAAAAATGATTTATTTTTAAAGTTATATATTATTTTAATATTATTGATAATTGATACATAGATCGGTGCATAGGACTTAATAGAAAGTGGAAATTGTCCAGCCCAATACGAGGAAACTTAAATGTCAAGACTATAAGGTTTAACTAAAAAGATTAAGAAAAAACCTTTTCAGGTCTTCCTTTTCCTTTTTGAGCACGTCAGTCTCTAGAGTCTAGTCTATACTCTCTAAACTCTCACCCTCTCCTTTTCGTCTTCTTCTTCTCTTCCTCAAATTCCTCCGGTTCCAAGCCTCAAACTTTCAAGCTTTCAAAGAATCCAAGTCTCCCAATCAACTTAGAGTGAAGACTGCAGACAAAGAACAAGAGAGAGCGGTAGAAATCAACGTCTTATACAGTCATACTCTCCGGTCTCATCTTCACCTTTCAAACCCTGAATTAGAAGTCAGAAGACTCAGAACTCAGATGTGTCAGAAGAGAGTGAGACCAGCAAGGCAACGAGCTAGCAGATGCAACCAGACGATATAGATTGCAAGGTTGCAACCTGCAACCATCTTTAGAGGTTGGAAGGCTTTCAGAGAGTTCATTCGCTTACAAACTACAGGTAATTTTAAAATCTTCTTCTATGCTCTGGTTGGGGGTGGGTTTTTATTTTGAGTATTAACCAAAATAACCGAATAAAATTTTGGTTCAGTTTGATCGGTTTCAATCACTTTCGGTCTCGGTTCAGTTTTAGCCTATGATAGATCGGTTGTAAAAATTTTAGTTTTTCGGTTCAATTTTGAACCAGACAAAACCGAATGCTCACCCCTTGGGGGGAGATCTGGTCAGATCTCATAAACGTGTATTTGAATTCGAATCCAAAGAGATCATTAGATCTTCGGATCTGATCTGATTTTATTTGACTTTTAAAAAATAAATAAATTATTAAAAGAAAAATATATAACAATTTAAATAAAGAAACACAAAAATATAAGTATCTTCTCAATTATTTTGATCATGTTTTTGTAAAAAAATAAATAATACAATAAATTTACAAAAGTGCAATATAAATAATATATTTATAAATAAATAACATATATATCGGATCGAATCTTCTCGGATTGGATAGGGGTGATCCGAATCTAAACCGATTTCTGGTCGGATCCTATTATTTGACTTGATCTAATCCGAAGATTCGAACCGAAAAGATCCAAATTTAACAAAATAGGATCGGATCAATGATCTAATCCATTTGCACTTCTAGCCTTAGGGTACCTTTCTAGGCCCATGAATTATTTTTTTCTCTATAATTTTCCAAAAATTTCCATTCTTAATATATTCTTCTTTTACTACTCTATTGTGTTGGGTTAATGTTTTCCATCCTAGTTTTGCTATGCATGCAACATTAATCCAATATAATTTTTTCAGACCCCAACCTCCCCTTGTGTTTATGGAAAAATATCTTTTCCATATCATATCGGATGAGATGGACCAATCAACTTCCGACATTCTGTTTCGGAAATCACATTTCAAAAAAGAAATACATTTTAAGAAAGATGTTAATGTACAGAAAAGTACGGACCGTCATTCTCCCTAATATCTTCAGCTCACCACCCCTCTTGAATCATTGCTGACAACAATGGTTTCTCTTCGGTGTCACCTCATCACCCTTGTGCTTCTTCAAGTGATCCTCTTGCTCTCTCACCCTGTCAAATCTCATGGTAAGCATTGTCTCTCTTCCTTTCTTTTCTTAATTTTGCTCTTGCAGATCTTTTACTTTGATGGGTTTGTCCTGTTTGGTTTTATTTCTCTACCAATTTATATATGTTCATCGTTCTTCCATTCTTGCATGATTTGAGTCTTCATTTCAAATTCCAAGCATATGGGATCTCTTTATCGTTAGTGGTTGCATTGCAAGTCTGAGTTTGCCGATTAATGGGATTTTTCTGATAAAATAACATTCGTTTCGTTGGGAGGAAGATCTTGATGCCTGGTTCTCCTAAAATGTCATGAGGTGACGATGCATGCGAACGCATTGTGTCTGAAAAGGGACCTGGATAGGGGAGAAAAATGCATGTTGCAAATATCCATTTAACTGGGTATCATGTTCTGCAGTGTTACTGAATCTCTCTCTCTCTGGTAGTTCAATGATTCAAAGAACTAGTTTTGAAATTTTTTTTTCGTTTTAGACAAGTGCTCTAGGAGGATACATGAGAAATACATCCGTATTATTTGCAAGAGCATGATCATTACTAGATTCTAGTAATTATATGTATAATTATAATTATATGTACAATTCCTATACA